TAATATAATAATAATAAATCCTCTCAATCGATGGAGCTTCATGATTTTATTGATTATTTTACCTTCCTTATCTGACACTGAAAGTCTAACCTCAGCATTACTCACTATAGTATATCACTTAACATGGTATGAGATGGGACGCAAACACTTATTGTCACTAACAGGTGGCCATATCTAACAAGCATAAAGCAAAATGAAGTGAACTGCTCTACATAGATATCACCTCTACTTTAGAGAAATGACTTTCACTTGAGAATGTTACATAAGGCTTTTGGATCTATGCTATGAATTTATCAGCATTCAGGACTGAATTACTTCAACTAAGATCATTTTTTACCAATGAGCCCAAACTTACACCATGCTGACAAATTTAAGTATTCACCAAAAAAAATTAAATCCGACACGGGGTAACTTGACAACAGTCTTAAGAAACACGTATTGACTGACTAAGCTGAACAGTTTACTGAATAATATTTACAGACGAGTAGAAAAAATTTCAAATTTAGTGCCAGTCAGCAGAAAGTGGTAAAACACAAAAAATAACAAAGCGTAATATGGAATGTCTATCAAGGTTGAAACATTAGTACTCATATACACAACTCATACATACTCCTACACACACACACATACACACAAAGTATGTATATATATGCATATATATATCGACATATACAATACAATTAAGAGCCCGTATATGTACAGATGAATGATATTGCTTGCGTCTTCAAGAGGACTGTAAAATCAACGAATATGTTTTTACTAGGCTTGTAGTTATTTATTAACTGATTCTAAAGGCATTTTAAAGTACATCATCAACATATTTATGTGTGTACATTTGTTTTACTGCATAGAATTTCATTTTGTTGAATTAGAGTGACAATTTTTAATAGAATAATTGAAATTTTAGCAAAAAGGCGTATTTTTTACAATTTCACTGAGCCAAAAACACACAGTAAATCATGTCACTCACTGAAAATGTCATGAATACCTCACTTAATGTATAATAATCTATTTGAAATAATACTAGTCATATAATGTGTTACACTATGATGTGTTGAATATGGCGCTTTCATTCAATGGTTTCAATAGTTAATTTAAAGATATTATTGACAAATCTTGAGTCTGATTAATATTGATAAGTGAAAAGTACTTCACTACTAGTTGGAGAGATGTATTATGTTATGATGAGTTGTCCTTGACGGATGTGAATCAGAGATTAGAGATTGGAGTTACTAAACACGCATTGTACCAGTTGACATACTGGATGACTTTGCTTGTTAATTCAGCGCTTAGATCCGTAGCTGTATGTGTTTAACGCTACTAATCTGACTGGAGTCTTGCCAGTTCTCATTATACTGAGGTAGATGAAAAAGAGGAGATTTGTAAGTGGTATGATGACTGGAAAATATGCAAGTGAAAAGCAACAAGCTGGCAGAAGAAGCATCAAAGATAAGAAGAACTTCAGGTGAACATAGATAAAACAGAGGTATGTGATGAAGATTTCTGGCCAACACCAACAGCCATAACAACAACAGACAACAATCATCCAGCATAAATGGGAGGAACTTGAAAGAAACAACCTATTTCACCAACCGACCTGGGAAGCATCGTTTCAACTACATGTGGACTCGATTGACGAGGATTTCAGGGAAAGGATCGGAGAAGCAAGACAAGCTGTCATTACTCTTAAGCCTGTATGGAGATCAACAGCACTCAGCATGAAAATGAAAATGAGATCCGGACTTTCAAATCTAATATTAAGTCGGTGCTACTCACTATACGGATCAGAGACATGGCGCGTCATTAAAAGCACTACAAACAAACTACAGACCTTCATCAACAGCTGTCTCCGCTCAATACTCATGATCAGATGGCCGGCCAGAAAATATCAGCAACAGTGATCTCTGGCAATGAGCGAACCAACCAGGAACCGACTGTGCAACAAATCTGCAGGAAGAAAGGGAGATGGATTGGCCAGATGCCGAGGAAACCATTAAGTGACATCACTAGACAAGCCCTCGAGTGGAACACGAAAGGGAAGTGGCTAGTTGGTCATCGGTGCAAGGGTGACCTGGAGGAGGTCATGTGAAAAGGAGATGAAAGCATGTGGACAGACTTGGAGCGGGGTGAAAACGTTGGCAGAGAACCGAACGCAATGGAGACGTGTGTGTGAAGCCCTATGTTCCTCTAGGAATTAAAGGATAAAATAATAATAATAATGATGATGACTACCTCCAGATATTCTTAGACTGACAATGAGGTTTCATACTGAGATCTTGTCTGTAATAGTAGTCAGGCCAACGAAGATGAAGCAGACGGATGCGTAACACTGAGTTGTAACTTGAGAAGATTTTTTTGTTGGAATTAATTAAGGCTGAATGCCCAGGCATCTGTCTTTTCCAAACTTGAGAATAATGCGTCAGTAAAGAGGTCTCTTTCCCTCACTTCACTTCAAAGGTTACGGTTAGTAGCAAATTAAATCAGAGTGTATGAGGTGACATCACTTAGAGGTAGAGAGGACGGTCACTCATCAAAGAAGAGAGCGCAGAGTGGTCACACTATGTTATGAAGTGGCAGAAGTTGGAATTCATGGGGTGATCATTTGACCGGGTCCCAGTGGCTCCATAGTCTATGAGTTTGCTCGCCTTGTGACCAGAAGGTTGTGGGTTTACGCCTTGGCGGTGGGTGAGTATTGCTGAAGAGTCTCAAACTAGGACGGAGGACGCAGAGCTGTCCAGTACTCCCTGTCGAGGTTTTTCAATAGTTCTCTAATTGATGTCAGCTCATGATAAAATCCTTCATCTGATAAATAATCTTGGAAATAGTTGAAAAGAAATAAGAGAACAAAGGAATGAAAATTGATCCGTACTCAGTGTGACTTCAGTGCATGTGGTAGATTATCTCCTCACAAGATAGGCGGTGAGATTTCTTCTTCTGCTTACTGGTACCAGACAGTGAAAGTTTCTTCAGCTGTCCATTCCATTTAGACTTGTGGTAGATTGATCTTTATAGACTTCCATCTTATTGTCTCCTAAATTGGACATATAGAACAGATAATTAACCCTCTGGGTCTGCTTCATTGTGCATTGAGCAATTTACCTTCCCCAGTGGAGCCAAGTACATAGACTGTACCAATAGGATATTAGTCTGGACGCGCCTATTAGCACTTACCAGCACGGTTGTCCGAAGAAGAATGCAAAAATAGTCAACAGCTCAATTCTGGAGTAGAGTATTACTTCCTGCCATGCAACATCAGAGTAGACGTTCTTAAAAGTCTTTCGAAAGGATATTTCTTAAGTGTTCTTCATTCAGCTGAATTCTTAGCAGCCCTAGAGGAGAAACCTGAACATTTTTTAAGAAACCTTTCATCCAGCCTCGCTTACTGCCGTGACCTTGGTACTGATTTAGATATTTGAAAGAAATCTTCATTCAAAATGGATACTCACCAAAATTCATTGATAAAATTATGAAATCAAGAATCTGGAGAAATGAAACTTCACTTGCGACTTAAAAGAAACTCTATATGAACTTGGATTTCAAAGAGATTTAACAAGCGATATTCTTGAGTGAAGGATCGCATCATCTATGAGAACAATATTCTTTGCAGCGATGCTAATAATAGTGTTTTCCAGTCGCTCACTGATCTGCGGAAACCTCAAGGACATGGCCCTGCATCTGACCACTGATATGTGCATATATCACTTCATCTGCTACTGTAGAGCCGGGTACATAGGTCTTCCGACGCTCATCCTGTCAAAGATGATTCAAGAACACTAAACAGGATGGTTGAGAAAGAGACTTGGCGCGTCATGAAGGGCACTTCAGACAAACTACAGACCTTCGTCAATAGCTTTCTTCGCTAAATACAACTCAAAGTCAGATGACCAGAAAAGATCGGCAGCAGGGATCTCTGGGAGCTAACCAGCAGAGCAGAAACCGATTGTGCAACAAATAAGCAAAAAGAAATAGAGGTGGACTGACCATGATCTGAAGAAACCATCAAGTGACATCACACGCCAGGCCGTCGCTCGAGTAGAACCCGAAAGGGAAGCGGTGAGATGGTCGTCCAAGGGTGACATGGAGGAGCTCATATGAAGAAGAAAATGAAAGCATGTCAGCAGACGTGGAGCCAGGTAAAAACGTTCGGGGGGGGGAGAAAGTGTGGCTGAAGCCCTATGCTCCTCTAGGAACTAAAGGATCATTTTTGTTACTACACTAGTTTCATTAACACTCAATTTTTTTGACCGTTTTTGTATTACGTAACTACTCTCAAAACGTAACAGCTCTCACTCCACCTTAGTTAAAATAACCAATTGTTAAATTATTTTCATCATCCTAATTCTACCTAACCCATGTAAAACAGACTAAAACCTGGAGGCATTGGACAGCTGTTTCATCATATTTCGGGATTCCTCACCAATAATCACGGATGCCTCCACCATGAATCAAACCCAGGACCTTCAGGCTACAGGAACGAGCCCCTTGGATATTCGGCGAGCCGAAATGGATTTCAGTGGTTCATGACGAAAATCTAACAGCTGGAATTAATTCAGAGTTCTCACAAATCATCCTATAATCTCATTACTAATGGTTTCATCACTGATGGCCACTGAATGGATTTTCTGAAGCTTCAGTAGAAAATCATAACCAGTGGGGTCCACCATGTTATGATGGAATGAATGTTCATCGAACGCGTTATCAAGCGCATCGCTATATGACGTATTGACAAACTTAAAACTCAAGGGTCAATGAATTTCAGCCGGCTTGGCTGAATAGTCAACATGTTCAATCTTATAGTTTGAATCGTCCCGGTTTCCATCGATTGTGTTGGATGGGGCCTTGCGCACTCATGAAGACTCCGAAAGTAGGGCGAAAACGTCGTCGAGTACTCCTTGGTTTGCAATGTTCTCTCTCTAAATGACTTTGATTTGTGATCCAGCTACTTCAGCTACTGAAAAGCATCCAAAATTCTCACAAATTTTTTAATTTGAAAACAAGTGAGCTTAATTATAACTATATTTCACTCTAGTATATTTTATGCTTTAGCGAAAGAAACGAATAGTTTGAAAAGATAAGAAAGTTGGTCATTGTAAGCGCGTCTTTTTTGTAAAATTTCACTTTTGTTAATGTTGTTGCTGCTGTTGTTGTTGTTGTTCGTCTTCTTTTCCTTCATTTCTTTTCTATTCACAATTCAGCAGAATTAATAATAATTTCTTTAAACCGCCTTGTGTTTCACATGCTATACTCTTAGTTAATGGTTTATAAAAGAATTTTTCATATAATTCTTTTATATTTTGCAAATCAATCTAAGGCAGAAAAAGAAGAAGAAGAGAAAAATGGAAGAAAAGAAATAAAACACGTCAACATTGACAGATATTACTTTTAGCGTATTTTGTTTTAATTAATTACGATTCAAGGTCTACTGAATGGGTGCATTGAAAATTGAAAGGCGCGCATTTTGAATTTATTTCTTTTTTTAAGTTTGTCACTTCAATTTCTAATATTAAATTATGCCTTATCTGTAGAATTTTGTGCCTTTCAACCATCTAACAAAATAATTTGCAAAGTTTACTGAAGTAATAAATCTTCTAGATTGCAGATGACACTACGAATTAACATGACGGTTGTTATTCCAGTCAATATCACTACCATAGTCAATTTTGTATGGAGACTAGATCTTTAATGGCACTTCAGACTTCACCACTCAGTGACGAGAGTCAGTGCCTCTGATTAGGTATTATTTCCCTTGAGATTACAGGAATCTAGGGAAGATTAGTCTTAGTATTATTACTCCTTTGGATTCCGAGTGAAACATACGGCTTCAACAACATATCTCCACTTTGTTCTATAGTCTGCTGTCCTCATGATTGCCCATAATCTGTCATCTGCTCCTCCTCCTCCTCACCACACAACTTGATCCATGTAAACCTCACATTGACGACCCACTCGTGGCTTACCAATGGGATTCCATTGGAGTGATGGCCTGCATTGAGTGCGATGTTGAGCGATTGGTTATTCGTAGGTTTGTTCTTAGCCAGAGTTTCTTGTTTCTGATTCTTTATGGCTGGCCAGCTGGTCACTTGATCTTCAGTATGTAGCTAGCTGTTGATACAAGTTTTAAGCAGCCGGTTGGAAATGGTTTACGATCCCCATAGAAGAACTGACTGATTGACTTCACATATGCGTTGGAAATCCAAATCTTGTCGTTTAATGCTGTACTGGAGCACAGAAGACTTTCAAACTTGTTTCAGGTTGATTAGGGAGCAGCTTGCCTTTCCAATTCTGTCTTCGATGTCTTCGTATTTACATTCACTGTTTCCTAGGGAATAACCGGTAACCTGAATATCTTGGTCTTACTTCATGTAATTTTCGTGAGTAGAGATAACTAGGTTAATCCTATAATAGTGTAAAACAGCTCTCCAGTATTCTGTATTCCCCAATGGTTCTGTCTGTGTCTCTAACCGACGTCAGTCTGTGGCTATATTTACGGAGTATCACTGAAAACGAAGGAGTAATGCTGCACAGCTTTATTGTTCCCCTGTTCAACGATTCTTCAGCAGTTCATTTCTGTGATCTTTGTGGAGTATTGAACGCGAGACTTAGATGGATATGGTGAAGTTGTAATGAGCCGTGGGCGCCGTCACGGTATTGGTTTGCCATAGTAGTAGTAGTAGTAGTAGTGGTATATATCATGAAACGAAAAATGTTAGAATTTACAGGGTTATTCAAATCCAACCGCAAAAACGAAATCTCCTGGATTCAATCTCTGACAGTGGCATCGTGACTGATCATTGCTGAATATTCGCCTTCAAGGAAAAAAACACCTATCAAGTAGTGCTCCTTATTTCTCAATAATTCTTTAAACGGGTGTCAATTGGTTTTCAATGAAGGCAGCAGTTTATTTTCGAGTATTTTACTATACGCAAGATAGGTCTTCATCAAACTGAAACCAATTCGTAGATCTTCTACACTCTGCCTCAGAAAACCGGCACAGCATTCGAATTTTCAACTTATATGTGACGTCAATCAACTGCCCTGCGTGTCACAAAAAAGGATTTCTAACAAGCTACTTAAGCAGTGTATCAACTGCTGCCCACTTGGCTGGTTGACTAGCTGGCTCCATACTAAAGATGGAATAGCCAGCTGGCCAGCCAGAAAGAATCAGAAACAAGAAACTCTGGCTGGTGACAAGTCGACGAAGAGACGATCGATCAATAAATATGTATGACAAAATGGAAATGGATCGAATGGGTATACGCTGAGAAGGCCGTAGAATGAAATTGTGCCTTAAACAAGCCATTGCTTGAACGAAAGTTGGATGGGAAGCGATGAGTGGGTCGCCGATTCGAGGGTGACATGGAGAAGATCGTAGGAAGAGGAGGAGATGAGAGATTCTGGGCAATCGTGGGGTCATCTAACTGTGAAGGGGAGAGCAGGAAATAGAACAGAGTGGAAACGTACTGTTGAAGCCCTATGCTTCACTTAAAACCCAATGGAATCATAATAATAATATAATTATTTTGAATCATCCACTATAGTTATATTATTATTATTTCCTTTAATTCCTAGAGGAACATAGGGCTTCCGCTAAACGTCTCCATTGCGTTCGGTTCTCTGCTAGAGTTTTCACCTGGCTCCAAATCTGCCCACACACTTTCATCTCCTCTTCACACGACCTCCTCCATGTCACCCTCACAGTGACGACCAACTCACCTTTTCCCTTTCGGGTTCCAGTCGAGCAATGGCCTGACGTGTGATGTCACTTGATGGTTTTCTCAGAGTATAGCCAATCCATCTTCATTTCTTCCTGCTTATTCGTCGCACAATCGGTTCCTACTGGGTTGGTTCGCTCATTGACAGAGATCTCTGTCGCTGATCTTTTCTGGCCGGCTATCTGATCTTGAGCTGTTTTGAGCGAAGACAGCTGTTGATGAAGGTCTGTAGTTTGTTTGAGGTGGTCTTTGTGACTCTCCAAGTCTCTGATCCGTATAGTGGCACTGACCGACTTCACACTGTAGTTGAAAATCCGGATCTTATTCTCATTTTCATACTGAGTGTTGTTGACCTCTACACAGACTTCAGAGAAGTGAAAGCTTGTCTTGCTTTTCCGATCCTTGCTGTTTTGATATCCACATCAGTCGCGTCCACCTGTAGTTGAAACGATGCTTCCCAGTTAGGTAGGTAGGTAGGTAGGTGAAGGAGGTTGTTTCCTTCAGACTCCTCCCATTTATACTGGCTGATGGTTGTCTGTTGTTGTTGTTCCTCGTAGACTATAGTTATAACTGATAATTAATTTATTGCCAAAACTGTTCTATTCTGTCATTATCTTTATTAATAGAGAAATAACACGCTCATATGATACACTTTGGAAGTGTGTTGATGATAAGCATATGATTTCTGAGAAACAAAACACACACACAAACACAGAGGCACGCAATTGAAATCGTCTTCAATGAATAAGAATAATGTTATTCGACAGTAACAAGAATAATAATTATTATTATTATTGTCATATGTTTTAGCTGAATTCATTTGCTTGTGTTATTGCCAACTTTGATGCTAAAGTTATTTTCTCTGTTTGCATACGTGTATATTATGTAAGGGAATTAGTGTTATAACAAGAAAAAAATAGAGAGAAAAGGATCTTTCTTTAATTTCTGTGTGTGTGGGGGGTGGAGTTGAAACATAAACGTCATTTTGGCGCCATACAAATATGCAGAGTAAAACAGAAACTATATATATATATATATATATGTATCTTACCATCATTACAAAGTGTACTATGTCTAGGTATTTGTGAGATCCAATTGTCACATGGGTTTTGTAGTTTCGCTTACACTAACTTATCAAAAAAATCAATCACTTTTCTTTGTAGAATTCCATTATTGATACAATTTGCTTGTTTTTTTTATAAAGTCTAACAGTGTGCTATAAAGTAAAATTTATTGATGACGACAATGTTTCTAGCACAGATTATTACTGCTCCTATACATATCAAGGCATGCAGACAACTTTTTAACTTTCGTTTAATTGAATGGAAGATTTTATCATGAGCTGACGTCAGTTAGAGAACCAGTGGAAAACCTGGGAGTATTGGGTGGCTGTTTCCCCGTCCCTCTTTTGTGACTGTTCACAGTACGCGACCAGGACCATTGAGCCACTGGGACCCGATCAATTGGCTCATGAATTCGAACTTCTGCCAATTCACGACACAATGTGACCATTTCGCAATGTCTTCTTCGATGAGTTACTGCCTCATCTTCAACCAGAAGGTCCTGGGCTCGAACTCTCGCGGTGGGTGCGTACTGATGAAGAGTCACAAACTAGGCGGATGAAACTGCTGTCCCCTACTCCTTGCAGGTTTATCAGTGGTTCTCTAACTGATGTCAGCTCATGATGAAATTCTCCATTCAATCAAACTTTCCAACTTCCACTGTTTCTCGTCTCTTGATTTGATTGGTAGTAAAAGTTTTCATATTTCCGGTATGAATGATGAGTCATTCTCTTATCACACGGGATTGGTGTAGATTCTGTGAAACAAAGATTCAGTAATCAACCCTTCTCTCCACCAACCCTTAGAATTTGTACTCTGTCCCACCCTATTGTCTGGTTGTGTGTTAGTGCATGCAGTGCGATATCTTTTTTAAATCACCTATCTTTGTCAAGTCAATCATTCTAACCATAGCTAAATTCTTATGTTCTAATAATGTCACTACTCCTGATCTACTGGTTTGACCTATGTTGTAGTTGACCTAACTCACAGTCATTGCAAGATATTTTGTAAATTATATCATTTTGTCAACTTACAGGGTGCTTTACCCTACAAAGCTTCTCGTACCTCAATGAGTTTGTAGGTTTAAATGTCACCCTGATTCCTGTTTATATTGAGAATCCTACGTGGGGTTTCACATATCCCCTCTTAATATGGTAAAACTGTAGGTGACTTATATTCTTTCTTATTTTTATTATCATTATTAGTTTCAACATTATTTTTATTCTGCGCTTGACAGTTTATAAAATATCTAACGAATTGTATAAAATAGTTATTTAACCTGGTCTGAGCAATAAATTATGCTCAAAACGTGGTCATCAGTAGATATTACTATATAACACTGTAAGTCTTAATCAATATGAATTTTACCCACAATGGAACCACAGTTCACAATTTCTATTCTTATATCTCTTTGTGTAGTTAATAACTATGCAAGACTACGCAGGACATCGGTAATCAATGTAACTCTTACTGAAGCCTAGTTTTTTTTTATATTATAATTATTGCTTTGGGTTCCAAGTGGACAATAGGTCTTCAGAAGCACATCTCCACTTCATCTTGTACTCAGCAGTCATCTATAGCTTTTTACAAGATCGTCCACTGGCTATTATCTTCTGCTCCTCCTGTCATTTCCTATTTGGATGGCCAACTTAGAACCTGATGTTCTCAGAATGCATCCGATCCATCTCGGTTTTCTTAGGCATATTTATTAGGCAATAGTTTCTTCGTTGGTTTTTTGTCAGACTTCCTTGTTGCTAATTCTTTATAGTTTACCGTCTGATCTTCGACATCGACAGAAGGTAGCTAGCTGGTGATAAAATTCTCGAGCCTGCTGGAAATGCCTCTAGTGACACGTGAACCAAGCCTCTCAACCGTATAGAAACAGAGACCGACTAGACTGCAGTGTTTAAATTTGAGTATTGTTTCTTATATATGCGTCGGTGGCACAGTGGTAGAATGCTCGCCAACCATACAGTTGGTCGAGGGTTCGATATCCTGTCACAGACGCTCTCCTCTACCTCGCTAAGCCAGTAATAAGATTGGTAAAGAGTGAAGGTTGAACATGAGGCTAGCAAAACCATCCCGAAAAATTAAATACCACTGCTAGCGAAACTTCAAGCCTGTAGCTTGAGACTTATATTCCGCCGGGAACGTAGAGGAATAATAATGATAATAATTGTTTCTTATGGTGAGCATACCAGGGTTCCACGTTAATTTCAAATCAAGTGGCCTGCTCAAATCACTGAGCCACCTAAATTTTTTGTTCATAGGCTTCTCACTATTTCCTATTATTTTATTCAACTAACTGTGTTTTCGGACGGCTATATGATCTTGCACACAATGTTAGTTTGATGTAATGCAGACCTGCTGCTTGACAGAAATGAAGAAAAGATCTGGACATTGCCTTAGATGGAAAAACAGCGTCACACGATGTACTGCCTAATACTATTGTGCGTGAAGATCCTGTATGAAGAGTAGATATTTTTAAATTTAAGTAAGTTGAAAATTCTTGTACTTTGATGTTAACATATTTTTTTTGATTTACAGCTTGATTCCACACTGTATTTTTGGTACAAGTATGGAATTTTCAGCGTGGATATTGGAAGCCCAAATTTCTCCGGCCGACCATAGATATCAGGTGTGCGTCGACAGGGGATCGAACCCCGGACCATGTGCATGGTCGGCGAGAGTCCTAACCACTGTGCCACTGACGCACATAGTTATCTAGAATGAAGTAATTATTAATACTGATGAAAAGTCCCAAACTATGACGAAACAGCTGTGCAGTACTCTCAGTTTGTTTTCCAGTAGTTCCCTTACTGATGCCACCTGATGATGAAACCCTGTAACCGGTCAATCAAATCTCTACAAACCAATACTTGAAGTTATTGTTATCATCAGATGAATATCTGTCTTGCTTCCTAGCTCCTGACTGGCTTTCACATCCTAATCCCTGCCGCCCGTAGTTAAAATGATGCTACCAATATAAATGAAAAAGATAACTTGCTTCAAATTGCCCCCATTGGTGAAGATTGGTGCTTTTTGTTGTGGAATGAGAATCTTCAAGGTTTTCAGTTTATTATTCCATGTCCCTACACTCAATTTTGCTTCCATCAGAGGCTTAAGTCAATCCGTGTCTTCTCACCAATCTCCAATCTTAGAGAGGAATCAGTTTTATTTCTATATTTTTACTGTGGTTTGAAGTTTTTGTAGTTTCAAGATTTCATTTTCAGGCTCACTCATAGGTCTTTTCTCTAACTTGATACTGATTGATAAATTAGTTATTTGGTGAACTAGAAGAAGCTGAAGCCTAGTTATACGAAAAACTCAATAAAAAGCCTGAAACGAACGTAGCCAGTTCAGGTTTAATCAAACTGACTCAGGAAATATGTCATGAATAAAAACCAAAACTAAAATATTGAGTGTTATGAGTTCAAATCTTCATGTGGCCTCCAGTTCCTCACAAAACTGCTGATTCACTTAACAGAGCAGGATTTCCTGCAAACTAGTAGACCAAGCAAGTTTTGAGAAAGTGTCTATTGGAAATGGAATCTAGACCTTAGGCGTGCCTACTGAGCATCCCAGTATTGTACCACTAACTAGATATTGTGTGTTAACAATAATGGACTTATATAAGTGCACAACTATCTCTCAGAGAACCACCGAAAACCAAAGGATACTGGGTAGCCATTTCATAACATTTCGGGACTCTCAAATGATGTGAACAACTACCCCTTGAGCTGGAAGACGATTTAAACTTTTTGGTTGTATGTAGGGAGCGTTACCATGGACCAGTCGGGTCAGAATTCACCACCTTATGATTTTTTGGTGTAAATATAATTGTATAATAGCCTATTTGTTGATTCAGCTTTCCACTGTCATCATTTTCCTCTCCACATACGTAAATACTTATAGACTATGCGACCTATACAAACGAGATAGGTTACTGGGCCTTCAGCTCACTTGACCAGCCCCTTGACCATTCATCCTCTGGGCTGGAATTCAATGGTCCATTAGTTCTAACTTACAACCACTTGTGACACAGTAGTATCGCCAACTGATCCCATCGATGTGAATCAGTCTAACCTTGTCATGGTGGACCTGGCCACAAGCGGCGATTATTCTTTAGAATTCTGGAGTATCCACTCAATAGCCGCTAATAAGCTACAGGCATATATCAATATTTAAGGTTTTGTAAGGATTCTGATAAGATATCCAGCTAACCGCAACTACAACAACAACCACAACCAATCACCACCAACGAGAGAGAGAGAGAGCCTACTGCAGACTTCCATCAACAGTTGCCTTCATCGCATACTGAATATCGAGCAGCCAGCTGGCCAGGAAGAATTGGCAACAAGAAACTCAGGCTGGCAAGGAACCAAAGAAGAGCCGATTTTTCATCAAATATGTAGGAGAAAATGGAGATGGTCCCGGAATACACTAAGGAAACCATCGAATGGCATTACGCTCCAGACCCTCGTGTGTAATCCCATTGGGAAGCACTGAGTGGGTCTTTGCTGCGACGGCGACTTGGGGGGGGTGGTCGTGTGCGAAACAGATGTGAGGGTGTGGGCAATCGTATACCCAGCTGAAGAGTATGACAGAAAATAGAACAAAGTAGGGATGTGTTGTAGAACCCCTACGTTCCTCTCGGAACCAAAGGAAATAATAATAATAATGAAGGATTCTGATATATTTTAAAGCTGCTTTCCCCACGAATTGATGCCATTTAAGCTCTGAAAACGTATTCAGAGAACAGAAAACTTAGATATAGGGTGGTGAAGAATGAATGTGCTGCTTTTCGTGTGTTTCTAAAACTGCTCAGTACAAGGGGTGACTAGGTGGTAGCTGTCAGTTATTAATGTACAAACTTTTCTTGCTCTTGGTGTGTTATATCCTCTTAGTTTTGTCTAATAAAATATAACCATATTTTTTAGGCTAAAAGTAGCTAAAATCGGTTCAAACCATGGGTTACTGAGAGAAAAGGCTTTCAACATGAGTTAGTCGCAAAATCTTTGATACCCAGTCTTATTAGTTATTGCTAGTGTCTTATGATTTTCGCATAGGCCGAGTGCAACAGACTACATTTGAAGTAAGGACAGTTATATTTTGTTTTTAGTCGAGTTGCTCACTTATGTCTGTATTTTAACGAATTTACCGACATATTGCGCATCACATCATAGCGCGCATCATACGAACACTTCAAATATTGTAAATCATAATTGTAAGTGTAATAAGATGACGTGCATCGGTGAATACTCACTCACTAAGTCCAATTCCTTAAACCTCGCCCAACCGATGCTTATCGCGGCTAAGAGGGAACATTTATCATGAAGTTAGCAACCCAACCCCAGGAAACAGTGCCAACGCCATTGAAACCTGAAAGCTGAAGCTTGAAGCAATATGTCGCACCAGACAAACAAGTGAACGGAAAATAATTAATTATATCAGAATATCCTTATTCAATGCACAAAAGGCTTACCTCACATCGAAGACATATAATACGAATGACTGTATCCTCGTTCATTCCTATACCTTCCATACTACAGTAAAGTTGACAGATGAGTAGTAAACGCAGATCAATGAGTGCCATAACTTTATGTAATGAAAGAAAACATAAGAGTATGAAAATCGTCAATTAATTATTATTATTATTATTACATAATTGAAATAACCTCGCCTAGTAAACTAGTTGCTATTTTTATAGCTGGTCTCGAGGCGGGGTAAAGAGGAAAGGCTGAAAGAAGGGTTGGCAACCCGACACAACTAGACCTATCAAACTGGTACAGAAACGCCAGCATTCAAAAAATACATTAAAAATACAAAAAGTTCAAATAACAGTCTTATTCTTCGTTCGAATCGGACGGGCGAAATGATACAGTAAAACTTCGCCCTCGGGAAGCCAGTCAACCAGCCAGCCGATGTGTCTTCTCTCGACAAAAGCAAGAATAAGAATGGGGACGTGGAATGTCAGTACAATTAATGAGGCTGGAGCGGCTGTCCAGTTAGCCAAAGAAATGCGGAGATATGGCGTACAAGTGCTGGGAACCCTGGGAGAGCAGATGGAATGTAATTTGTCTATCAAGATTGTCAACTGGAGAGATAGTAATCTACTCCAATCACCCAGATGACAACTGAGGCAGCAAACTTAGGCAGCGAATGGCTGTCATGATGTCACCAGTGGCTGCCAAAGTCCTAATGCAGTGGGAACTAATTTCATCCAGGATCATAACAGCAAGATTCAACCCTTCAAATGAAAGAAGGAAGGTTATCGTTATCCAGTGGTACAAAGAGCAATGAATAAGAGAAGAAAGAAGACTTTTACAGGCAACCACAAACAGTTATGGACAACATCCCAATTAGTGACATCAAAATCCTCATGAGCCATATGAATACCAAACTGGGACCTGATAATACAAGAAGAGAACTCATCATGGGTTGAGAGGGTGTCACTCGTTGAAATGAATGAGAACGGAGAATTATTCGCAGACTTCTGCTCCTTCAACGATTTGTTGGTCGGAGGGAGAGTGTACAAACCCAAGGATATACACAAAGCAGTATGGATTTCGGCTGACATACACACCGCAAACCAAATATATTTCATATCAATATTTCTCAGGGGAGTAGAGACGCAGCCTGATGGACACAAAGTTGAAAAGGGGAGCAGATGTGGGCTCAGACCATCATCTAAATAGTTGAAGGAACCTACAGAGTGAAGCTGGAATGCTTCAGAACAACTGAAGACATGTCACAATACAAGTTCCATATTCAGAAACTGAAGGGGAAAACTATAAGGGATTCCTTTACTTCAGATTAGATCAGAGCGAACTCAGAGACACTACGTGTAGAAGAACATTGGTCGGTCGGTCGGTCGATGAGGGCATACTGCTGAAGAGTCTCAAACTAGATCGAAACAGCTGTCCAGTATTTCAAGGTTTTCCAATGGTTCTCTAACTAATGTCAGCTCATGATGAAATCATGTAACCAGTCAAATCCCTACAAACCAACATTTGGATAACATTGGAAATTCCTGAAAGCGATATTTAAGGAAATGTGTGCAACCATTTTAGCAAGAAGGAAGAGGCAAGACAAGGAATGGCTCTCAGTGAATACCTGGAAGGTAATCCATATGTATATGTACGTATAGCAAGAGTTCTTATTTAGATACCTAGAGGAGAGTAAGATTTATCAAAGCAAAGTACAAATGATTATCCAGTTAAATACGTTGACAAAAATATTAGTTTACACCACCGAGGGAAGTCAGTATGGCGACAGATCCAAAGAAATCCTTCTTCTCTAAACTGGAATTCCTTTCCGACGGAATCAGTGAAATAATAATAACACAATGTTTAAAGGATGCAATGAAAAGAGAGTTTAGTATATGCAATGAACATAATCTCCTCACAGATATTCCAGTTTTAGGTTTGAAAAATATGAACAAACTAGCTGACTAGTATCGCCTCTTCCTCTGCATGTTTGACTACTCGTGTAAAGCCAGTTATATCTGACATACAGTCAGACAAGTTAGTCATGGAATCCTCAAACATCATCCTTTATGATTAACATTGGGGAAATAAGGTCTTTATTCTCAGACAATACACCTAAAGAATGCTTAGTCAACCTTTCAAAACAACCACTATCAAAAATGGAACAACAACTACTTTCGTGAGAGCAGGCCGTGAGAAAATATGTACAAGGCTGATTCGACAACCAATCACAGCAGACTTAACGTGGTAAAATATGATTCGCAGATAGAGAACTCTATTTTTCGAGGAATCCCGAAACAACCAATCAGAAGCCTGCGTTTGTCTGATTAACTTCTAATAAACAACCAATCAGATGACTGCGCTTGCCTACTTGCATAAGCTATAATAATGTATGTGAAATATATATAAATACGTGTTGATTTTCATAATAAAACAATCTGTTGCCTGGCCCTTGTCTTCTGTTGTTACACTACTACAAAAAGGATTAAACTACAACACCGAAGATGCTTCGAATACTGATTTCTTCGCTGCCCTTGAATCATCAAACTTGAACGAGGAAACACAGCAAAAGATATGCCAAGCAATAGTACCCATGGTCAAACAGAAAAAAAAAACACACACAACTCAACTCTCAAAACGCTGAAGAATATGAAGGACATCGTCATTCTACCAGCGGACAAAGGAAGAACAACAATAGTCATGATCAAAGAAGATTACACCAAGAAAGCTGAAGAACTATTCAAAGACGAGGATGTATATCAACAACTCCCAACAAATCCCAAACAAACATTGAACAACCGCATCCAAAGAACCTTAAACAAGCTCACCAAAACGGTACAGATCACAAAACAAGACCAATGGCGAATGAAATCCAATGGACCAGTCTTACCCCGATTCTACGGTAGACCCAAAGTACACAGGGCAAATATCCCGTTACGACCAATTGTATCCCTCCCACGAACTTTAACACATAATTTATCCGAAGAATTATACAGAAAACTAAAAAACCCAACGGAATCTTGTGATCACTCCATCAACTCTGCTAGCCAATTCCTAGAGAAAATCAGAGGCATCCAAATAGATGAACAAGAAATAATGGTATCATTCGACGTGACAGCATTATATACCTCAATCGGACAAAACCTAGCAAAAGAAACCATGGAGCAATTAATTAGCATCGACAAACACCTTCCACAACAATCAAAAATGCAACACACAAGCTAGATGGAATGCATAAATCTATGCCTAACAACATACTTCCAATTCAACGGCCAAATATATGAACAAGTCAAAGGAACACTCGTATGTTCACAGGTATCAGGCTTGATTGCAGAAGCAGTGATGCAAAGGCTCGAAAACATAATTCTGTCAAAGATCAAATCCAAGATTTGTATACGTTACGTGGACAACACATTTGTAATAATCAAAAGAAACGAGTTAGATAAAATTCACAACTCAATAAAAAATGTCTTTAACGACATCAAATTCACAGGAGAAGAGGAATCTGACAACCAAATCCCATTTTTGGACGTCTTAGTCAAGAGAAAAACCACAGGGGAATTAGACACTCAAGTTTATAGAGAAACAATGTCTTTTAGTAGCTGTTTCTCAGGTTTTGTGTTCAAGCGTGCACGTCATCTGTTTCAAATATACACACATATAAGTGACGGAAATTTTCTGGAGGATTGGTGTTTTCTGGTCATTTTTGAGCCACCTTAAATTTGCAGCTGAAATGTTTGGCTGACGCCCTGTCTACCACTTGGAATCGAGAGATGAACAATATATATATATATATATATATGACTAATAAATATTGCTACTTATTCTTGAGTTATTGATTTTTATACTTTTAAGGCAAACCATCCATGCATACATGCATTTATACGAAAATCTGTCATTTTTCCTCACTTACTGACAGTATTCATTGCTGTACGAAGAGGATTCGAAAATTTCCGTGAAATAGCATCCACTAGAAGGTGGCCATATTTCTAAAAAAAATTAGAAGAAATTAAACAATTATAATATTTTCAAGCATTGGTTTTGTGAGGATTTTTTTTGATTCGTCGGAGGAATTTATCATGAGCTGACATCAGTTAGAGAACCATTGGAAAACTGTCAGGGAGTACTGGACAACTGTTTCCCCCGTCAAGTTTGGGACACTTCATTAGCACTCATCCACTGGATTTCAAATCCAGGACCTTCTAGTTACAAGGCCAGCTAGCTGGTAGACCATTAAGCCACTGGGACCGGATTCAATGGCCAACTCGTGAATTCGTTACATAGCACGACGACTTCGTAATGTCTTCTTCAATGAGTAACTGTCCTAACCTCCAACCTGCCGCACCCTTCTGGTGACATCTCTCCATTAGAACCGATGAAGAGTTTCAAACTAGGCGAACGAATCAGCTGTCGAATACTTCCAGATTTTCCACTGGTTCTCTAACTGATGTCAGCTCATGATGAAATCCTCCAACCAATTATGATATTGACTAGTCAGCATGAATAAATACTAATATTTGTTTTATATACTGAAGACTGGCATAAATTTCTGTCATCCTGAATAGATAATTCTACAGAGACTAACAATCTAAGACGCCATCAGGGCTAAATCACTACTAAGCTGTGTGAGATTTTGTTTGATTTTGAAGTGATCTTTGTTGAATATTGAAATTTAGGAGCACTGAACAAACTTTTAAGACCTACTTATGTATGATTAAAGTAGTTGGGGCATCGTAGAAAGCATTCTCAGCAGGTTGTTTCAAGCTCCCATCAACATTTATTTGTCTTTGGTTGATAATAAAATCAGACAATCAACCAGCTAGTCAGAAAGGAAAGACAACAAACAACTCTTGCAGGCAGGTAGACAGTCAGGCACCCAAGAAAGCATCCAGTAATCTTTCAAACAATATGCAAAAATAAATAGAGATGGATTGAAGACCTTCAAGTAAGACCTTACAGCATGCCCTCAAGTGCAGTCTCAACTGGAAAGGAAAAGTTTTGGCATCTAGTGTTGAAACACAGATAGTCTTGAGAAGAGGGAGTGAAAGCTTGTCACATCCCACTTTGTTTATCAATTTACGTGTATGTGTGGATACACGTACACAGGGAACATCCATTGGTGTCTGCAGGTAAGGGCTACAGAACACAATCCAAAGTGGCTGTAACAACAAATAAAATAGCCAGACACAAGTCACCCCAGAAGTAAATGTCCAACATCGTCTATAGCGAAACACTTTAAAGAGGCGGGTCATTAGGTTGATTTCACTAATGCCTTTAAGCACATATACAAAACAAGGTTGGGCCACATGCTTTAATTCGTTGAAGCCTTAACCATAAAAAGATTTAAACCTCTCTGTCTTGTGTGTCTAAAAGTTATGTATTATCACCTTAAACCTGCCTCGGTAATCCAATCTAGAACCAAGGGCCAATTTACTTCAGAATATTTTCAACCCCTTCATTACTTTATTTTTTCTCTCTTTATTTTTCTTACGCACACATTTGCATCCTCCTATCCATTATTTGTGACCTTGACCTGTACACAATCTGACCTGTATTGTAATTATTCATGCTTTTTTCTCCTTCTATAAAATCTGTGTATGACAAGTATGTGTGTGATCAGAATGTCTGAGATGTGTTGCTCAAATGCACATTACACGTTTCAGATGAACTACGTCTTCTTATTGTGCTGTTGAAGGCTTGTAAGCAGTCATGTCGTCGGCTGAACGTGATCTCAAAAAAAATAAAATAAAATGCATTGGAGACTGTCCATGTCAACAGTTATTTAGAAGAGACAGTCATCAGTGGTATACAGTGAGGCATTAGGAACTAAAAACTCACTCAGGAACAGGCTGTTTGAGCAATAGGATGTGCTTGAAATGTCAACGTTAAGCAATACTCTTAGACTTTATAAGAATATTCTATGATGAAAAATTAGTAAAGCCTATTTATTTTAATAATTTGTAAAGTGTTAAGTACAGATGGCATCAGTGGCCAAGCGGTCGAATTCTGGTCACCCAAGCAAGTGGTTCTGCGTCCGATCCCCTGCCACAGACACGCTCCTTCACCTCACTAGTAAGAAGAGAAGGTTAGGTATAAGGCTAGCAACCCCATCCAATAAAAATAAACACCGCTGTTACCGAAATTTCATGCCTTTAGGTTGAAGCCCTACGTTCCAGGTGGAACGTAATGGAATAAAAAAGAAAATAGCTGCAGGTATCATCTGTGACATTTAACAGACATACTTACCTTATAGTACGCATTGTATACCGCCTGAATATGATATTTACTGCGTTTTGATAAAATTGATATAAAGACGGAAGGATCACCTTTACCTATTTGTCTGTAGAAAGTGAAGTGAAGCAGTTAGTGAATTCTGTCTCATCTTTTAATGATATATTGAAATGTTTCTTAGAATAAATGTTAAGTGAGTATGACGTGGAAGTGATATTTCTATAAAAATGGTCAATTTCAAGTTATCTCAAGTAATGACATCATTTTTGAGAGTGACTGAACACCAAGAGTACTTACTTAGCCAACGTTTCTTCCTTATTCATGACTCTCCATGAGTACATGCTCATAAAACGCTTCAGGGATTTAACTCATGGCCTATAGGTTATTAGGCCAACAAGCCGACTATTCAGCAACTGTGATGAGAAATTTTAGATTCCGTCAATCCATGATGCATTCACCTAGCACTAGCTAACATCTTCAGCATGTATCTGATCTGCGAACAGCTTGTTTTCGGCGAATTCATTTAATTTAGATGTACATTTCCATTCATATACAATATTTCTAATGGAAGTGGTTAGTAACAAAAGTGATGAGTTATCGTTAGGCGTTAATCGGTTAGAAACTAAAATAAAGTTACAAAAGTAGGTTGGGTGACGTAATCTAATTGATAGGGTTCAATGAAAAAATGAATGAGAGTCAAGTTAATAAGCTGAGTAGAATTCACTTAAAAATAAACGAAAATCGAGTTAGCAACAGTCGTCATGAGCGTAGAGATTTAATAGAGGGTGGGGGTAGAAAATAATGCAATTAAGAAATAGACAAACAAAGAAGAAAGAGGTAAGACAAAATTACGTATTTGGTGTTAAGATAGATCAGGACCATTGTAGATTTAGTGACTGAACAAACTTCTTTTGTATGCAGAGTTCAGGATTCAATATGTGAATTGCCATTGCTTCTGCAGTTTGAAGAAGTTTAATTCGTACTCTTTTGGCAAGATTCCCACGTATTGTGTAGATAACTGAGAAGTTGTTTTGTGGGTTTGCTTGGTGTCCGGATTCGATCAAGTGTTCTAGGATAGAGCTGTGGCGGGGGGATCTTCTTTCTCCTTTATAAAACCATGAAGGTAAGTGTTCGCTGATTCGTTTGGATAGCAAACGCTGGGTACGGCCGACATACCTAGCTCCACATGAGCAGGTGAATTGGTAGATGCACATTGATGAGGCCCCCAGTGGAAGCTTATCCTTCACGTTCGTGCGAATCATTGGTTTCGTAGAGAAAGTTAGTCTGAGTTCCGCTGCGAAGAAGGTTTTCTTCAGTGAACGGCACAGGCGGTTTCTCAGTATTTCTGCTGAAGAATCTCCGTTGAATTGTAGATTCAAATAGAGAAGTTTCTTGGGAGCAGTAAGCATGGATGGTTTTTGTGTTTTGGGCTTCATAGCTTTTGTGATGAAACGTTCCGGGTAACCGTTTTCAAGAAGGATTCTTTTCAGGGTCTTCAGCTCTTCTTCTATAGTTTCCGGACTGCAAATGTTGTGGATTCTGTGAGTCAGTGAGCGGATCAGATTTCGTTTTGTATATATAGGCACCCAACTGTGAAAGCTGATGAGTTGTCCATTCCATGTCGGTTTTCTGTGAATGGATCTTTTGAGTGTCCCATCTTGTTCGCGTCTTGCTAGTTGCACGTCCAGAAAAGATATTGTTGCGTTGGACTCCTTCTCTAGTGTGAACTGGATTGCTGGATGGCAACTGTTGAAGAAGTCCAATATGTTCTCCAAATTTTCCTCATTATTGGCGATAATAAAAGTATCGTCCACGTATCTCTTGTAGAATCCGAAGTTATCTATTATCTTCTTTAGGTGTGTATTTTCTAGTTTTGACATGAAAATATCTGCAAGCAGCGGGCCGAGTGGTGAGCCCATAGCTATACCATCTTTTTGTCTATATATTTCATTATTGAAAGTGAATTGGACGTTTAGAGTACATCTTAATAGGAGTTCCTTCAAATAGTCAGTGGGTATACCAATGTTCATCTCCTTTGAATCAATATATTCACATATATAGCATATTGTTTCGGTTAGTGGGACGTTTGTAAACAGTGATACCACATCTAGTGAGAAGTTCAGCAAAGATATCTTTTCTTTGCTGAACTTCGTGTTCTCTTCTTTCTAATGTAACAAAAAGGCAAAACAGAAATAAAATAAAATAGAATTAGGGTTACCAGGGTAGTATACAGAGGTCTGGTCGAAGTCTCTTGATAGCAATGGCTTCTGTGAAGCGAAGTAGCCATGAGTTTCTTTGCGTATTGATTATCTTGAAGGCTTGGTTAATTTCTACTGTGTGTCCCGTGTCAATTAAATGTCTGGCGATTGCATTCGATAACACTTTTCTTCCTTTTGTACGGAAACTCTTAGAAATGTGCTCATAAAATCTAGTAGATGCTCTCCTCTCAGTTCGCCCTATGTACTTGCTTCCGCAAGTGCACGTGAATTGGTAAATGCAGTTAAAGTTGACGTGAGCAGGGTACTCATGTACTTTTGACTGGGTTAACGAGCACACAGTGTTGTGAAATAGGATCATTCTGGCGGCTGGAAACGTTCTTTTCAATGCACCTGTTGTCTTTATCATTATTATTATTATTCCATTGGGTTTCGAGTGCAAAATTGAGCTTTAACAGTACATATCCACTTTGTTCTATTATCTGAGATCTTATACAGGTAGGTTCACCGTTGCCCATGATCTCTTGTTTCCTCCATACCACCGTTGCACTGACAACCCACTCGTCACCTCTCATTGGGATTCCACTCGAGCGATGGACTGTACTGAACGCGATGTCATTCGGTGGCCTTCTAAAATAAAGTGGCTAATCCCTCTTCATTTTTTCACACATATTTGTTGAACAATCGTCTATCTGTTGGTTTATCGCCAGCCAACCAGCCAGAGTTTGTTGTTCCTAATTCTTTCTGGCCATTTTGGCTATTTGATATTCTGTATAGAGTCAGCGGATAGTCAGCCGTTGATACAAGTCTTAAGTAGCCTATTGGAAATGGTTTTCGTGGAACGCAGTGCAGCCTTCCGACCCGTCAAGAACTGACTGACTGAATTCACATCTGTGTTCAAAATGCGAATGTCGTTCGTTTTTCCGAGGTGAAGTGAAGAAGATTTGCAAACTAGTTTCATTTTGATGAAGGCGTATCCTGACTTTCCAATTAAGGTCAGATTTGATATCTTCATCTGTCCAACCACCTATGGTTGAAACGATGCTTCCTGATAAGAAAACTGAAGTAGGTGACCTCTGTTAAATATCTTCGTAGATGGTGATTGGTGCTGTTCGTTATTTTTGTTGCGGTTCGTTGGTTATTCTCATCACCTACATCTTCTATATGTTCCCCTGAAGTCCTGTCTTCGCTGGCAGCTCCTTCTGCGAGACAGTTTATTGGTTTTCGCCTGCAATTCTTTGCGTTTGTTTGACAGTTGACATATCCTCATAGTCTGGCGCCTAATTCAGTACATCACAATTAAGAATATCATCGGTGATAAAAAGGTAGCCTTGTCTTACTACTGTTTTCACTTCGAACGCCTCACTGAGTTCTTCGTTGCAGATCATTTGACACGTGAGACTGTCAAATAGCCAGGTGTTGGATTAGATTGATAAAGACTTGGGCTTTTCACACCGTAGTGTTGTAGCAGCTTCCAAATTACTTCTCCACCAACGCTGTAGAAGGCCTTTTCGAAGTTGAGGAAGAGGTGTGACTGCCATTTTCTGCATTGATCGACAGTGATGCGTGGAGTTACAATTTGATCAGCACATGATATACCCTTCCTGAATCCAGCATATTTTATTCTTTCCAGGATGAAGTGACTTAGTGTTTCACCTGGCGTGGATAAGAGGATTATTCCAAGCCAGTCAGTTCTTGAGGAGCGAGGCGTAAGTTGTCCTTCATTGGTAGCTTGACAAGATAGCCATTCTTCCAATTGGTAGGCAACTTTCCTTACTTCGTTCCAAGTTTCTTTGCAGGAATGGTGTAAGCATATCCATCACAGTCTCTAGGGCTGTTTTCAGTGCTTCGGGGAATTCCATCTTACCCTGTTCGTTCCCTAGGCTGTCACTTATAAAATCACGGAAATGCATATATTTTTATCAGAATAATTTCTCTTGCCAAAGTCACATAGGGAACTTGAAAACTGTAAATTTTAATCTCTATATTCATTTATCATACAAATGTTGAATAATGATGACAAACGGTTGTCACGAATTCACCGCTATCTGCGTTTATTTAATAATATCTATTCCTTACCACAGGTGTTATGTACTGTTCGAGAATTTAATAGTCCTGACGTAAGAAAGACGGAAATCAGAAGACCACTAGGTTTGCGATGATACTTCTATTTTCCAAACACAAGGAGAATCAATGTCACACAAGTGTGTGAGAGCAAAATATATGAATGTCCGAACAAGTGTGTGAAACAAGTTTATGAGCAAATATTCAAAATGAACAAATCAATAGACAGTCTTAACATGATTGGCTAATTATAATGGAATATCGATCCATGTATACATAGCAAAATATATCAGGCTGTCAAACAAACACACATATTATATGGATGCATATCACCAAGAACAGGCTGTCAAACAAAACACACATATTATATGGATACATATCAATAGGTCAGTTTAGCTTTTAAATCTACCGAGCTCCGAGATGTGAGGTGTATAACTCATTAATCAATAAAATTCATTTTCGTTTGACCCTTTGCGTTTTACTTCGAACATAATGGCTTCAAGCTTCCAGAATTCAGCAGTAGTGTTGTCGGTTGATAGCTCCATACTGACACTTTGCTCGATACTTGATTTACCCTTAGCTGGTAGATGGGGACGATTTCTGAGTGCCTCATCGCAGAATCAAACCTCGACCTCTCAAAAGTAGTCGATTAGCATTCTATCATTTAATTGCTGACTGACTAAGGCCAAGTTAAACTTTAAGCACCACTAACTATCAATCAGCGAACGATCTGGAATGGTCTAGTGAGGTTCATGCATGTGAGTTCAAGGTTGTATAGCGCTTGATTCGAATCAAATGCGTGCTGTAATGAATTTATGCCTGCAGTTCGAGGAGGATAAAGTTTTACAGTATTGCCTGGATTTGGGGTTGCTTAGGAATGGGAGGATTTGTTCATCTGGTGGTGTCATGAGTTCAAAAAGCTTTATCAGGCCGCCTGATGGATACTTACATCGCTGTGGAATTTCTTTGAGACGAGTTAGTATAAGGGAAGGGAAGCTGATAATTTTAATATTTCGTAGGAACATGTTTTGCGAGGTCGCATCTCTCCCTAATCCAGATTTTGTATATTTGTAACTACTGTGTTTTAAAAAGCCTGTGAGATGTATAGCTGATAAAAAACCGAAAATAGCCTCTACCAGTGGAACCAGCATCGCATCACGGAAAATGGAGAGAATTACCTCGTGGTTAGGCGGAGAAGGCATCGTCGTGCACGTGGATGAAACTGTGTCACTGAAGAAAAAATACAACCGTGGTCGTGAGCGAGCCGACAATGTTTGGGTAATTGGTTTATATGACACCTCCCTACGGAAAAGATTCGTCGAGGGAATACCAGACAGAAAGTCAACTACTTTAATACCTATTATTACTAGACTTGTGAAACAGGGATCCATTGTACATGCCGATGAATGGAAAGGTTATAACTCGCTTTCATCTCTTGGATATATTCATCACAGAGTGAACCATTCCAGTGATTTTGGGGATCTCACTATGGAGACACACAAAGTCTATAGAAGGTTTTTGGGTAAGATTGAAAAGTAGGATCAGGGCTATAAATGAATCTCAAAAGGATCTCATTTATAGTCATTTGGATGAATATATGTACAGAATGTGGTATGAATTTTCTCTTGACAGTTCTATGCTAAACTGGGAGATGTTCCTGCCATATGTTAGAGAAAGATATCTTATGTAACAGTATTATGCAGATTTTATGCTTTTTTACCATAAATATAGGTTTTCTTTTATCGAAAATCCCTCTTTCATTTGATTGGTCCGTTGAATTTCGTTTTCTGATTGGTAGTTAGTGGTGCTTGCCCTGGCTAATAAATATTATAAAACGACAAAATAGGTTTATGATATTTTATTTTAATACACGCATTACACTCACCCTTCACTTGCTTCGTATAATTCATTCACGTCATCTGCAACTAACTGTTGATTGACACCATGTAAAGCTTCTTCAGTTATATTTTTAGTTGAAGTAGCTTGAATTTTACAGTCTTCACATCGTTCTCCTTTTAACAATTGTTGCATAAATAATTTATATGCGCCTTTCGATTCTTTCATAACATCAACTTCTAATGAACGCTGACGACAACCTAAAAAAAAGTAGCAATATTTGATTGGTATTAGAGAAAGTTTTATTCTTATTGTTGCACAATAAAACTAAGGGTAAACTGAGCTCTTTGAGTATGCTAACCTTTATTCATAGTATTTAATTGTGGTGAGAGCAGCCTGCTAGCCAATTGGTTGACATTAATCTACGTCAATGTCTAGGGCACTAATATGGGCCGTGAGAAAATATGAACAAGGCTGTTTCAACAACCAATCACAGCAAACTTAAACGTGGGCAAATATGATTCGCAGATAGATGGCTCCACTTTCCGAGAAACTCGAAAACAACCAATCAGAAGACTGCTTTCGTCTACTTGACTGGGCTAGAATAATGTATTTGAAATTTATATAAATGCGTGTTGATTTTCGTTGCCTGGCCCTTGTCTTCTGTTGTTACATAATGAATTATACATGGGATAATAAAGTAACTCTAGTTTCAGGAAAACTATCCCGCTTGTTTGCAGAAAGATATCAGTGACTCTTTGGGGAGTAGAACAATCTGACACACTTTCAGCATTAACTGCATCATCTCAAGAGACTCCTCTAAAGGAATCGTAGGAGTGAAGCGTGATCAATAAAAGGAAACACTATTTCTCCTCCTTTATTATTACTTTTTTGTTTTAATTCATTGAGGGGCACAGGGCTTCAGCCATAAGTCTTCATTGGGTTAGGTTCTCTGCCAACGCTTTCACCTGGCTCCATGTCTGTTTATATGCTTTCATCTTCTCTTCACATGACCCTCTCCATGTCAACCTCGCCTATTCTCATTTGGCTTCCACTAGAGGGGTGGCGTGGTGTGTGATGTCACCTGATGCCTTTCTCAGAGTATAGCCAATCCATCTTCATTTCTTCCTGCTTATTTATCGCACAGTCGGTACCTACTGGGTTGGTTCGCTCATTGACAGAGATCTCTGTTGCTGATCTATTCTGGCCGGCCATCTGATCTTGAGCCGTATTGAGCGAAGACAGCCGTTGATGAAGGTCTGTGGTTTGTTCGAAGTGCCCTTCGTGACGCACCGAGTCTCTTATCCATAAAGTAGCACTGACTGACTTCACATGGAGGTTGAAAATCCGTATCTTATTTTCATTTTCATGCTGAGTGGTGTTGATCTCCACACAGACTTGAGAGTAATGAAAGCTTACTTCCTCGATCCTTGTTTTGAGATCCTCGTCAGTTCTATCCACCTGTAGTTGAAACAATGCTTCTCTCTTTCATTGATGAAACTGTAGGCATCCCGATAAGGATAAAGACAATTTTCCCACTGCTTTTATTATCATGGTTTGTTTCCAAATAATTTCTTATTGTTTCGTATCGTACAACCCTTCTTTAGTATTCTGCAACCTGATTACAACTCATCCACTAAGCCAATTATTTCATTATGTAACTTCAACCATTTAGCAACTGTGCTTATAACATGATGTACACTGTGTGTTAGTTTCAGATGTTTACATCAGTTTATGTGTGACTGTCGCTGTAGAAACGTGTATCAGAAGGGAAAGATACGGCCTATTTTTGATATTCTGAATACATATTGAAATGTTCGCGGTATAGAGGAAGTAAATCTTTGACATCTGATTGAATCAGGATGTCAGGTAAACATTTCGAATTATTTGAATATGATTGAATAAAAGTCCTCCAAATAAGCCTCTTGAAGTTTACAGAGGTCACTAATGTGAGATAGTCCAAATCTGACTTACATATTCAAAAACTTCGATGACTTTACTATTGATCTTTGACTTTAATATATGTGTGAAACTTGGGCACTGTAGTAGTAAGTAGTTCTATATTAGTTTGCTTATTAGATGTATCACACAGTGAAACAGTATCACTGTTTACTGAATGACATTTCGAACAAAATTTATTGTTCATAATCATTTCATCAATCATAACCACACGACTTCGAAACTTGAGGTTTATAGTTTCTTTTGTAGTAGAATTTTCCAGATATCTAGTTGGACAGGTGTTGAATCATTCCTATTACATGTATTTGCAGTTGATTCGATAAATAACGCTTCTGTTATCTACCTCTCCCTCCACTCTGTGACATTAGATTTTAAAACTGTCATCCTATCCCATCCTATTGTCTGGTTGTGTGTAACTGCATGTATTGAGTGGTATTGCTGAACTATTCTTTAGATTTCTTATCTTATTTGGGTCAACCAATCTAGATTTCGCTAGGTTTTATGCTTGGCTAGTCTAACTGCCCCTGTTCTACTACTTTGACCTATGTATTTGACCTCACAATCATTGCAGACAGGGTATTAGATAAACTAAATTGTTTTGTTTTCAAGGCTCCACACGATCCTTTAACCGACGAAGCTTGTTTCTCATTGAGTTTGTGAGCACAATTTGAATACCACTTTTATTCCTTCGTAGATTATTACGAATTCTGCGTAAGGTGGTTTCCGAGGTTCCTTCCTTGTATGGAATTACTACTGATGATGATTTAAATTTTTTATTGTTGGTGTTGTCATTATTCTGTGCATGCTTGACATACAAGTCGGGGTTAATATTATTATTATTATCATAACTATCACTGTTATTATTTAATCTATTTTTGCATTTCCCTACATACTTTCTGACTAATTTATCAGGGTAATTATTAGGTTTCAAAGATTCTCCTATATGCCTCATTTCCTGCCTTAGACCCTCCCTAGTACTACCTAATTTTGTACCCTATTAATTCAGCATTTCACTATTTCATATATATCTAATAAACAAACTAACTTGGATCTTTAACTGTTCTGCTATTGATTGTAAATGTCGATTTCTTCACATTCCTATTTAGTTGAATCATTACCTGTTGAACTCTTTAATACCTATATGTTATTGCTAATTAGGTACGCTTAACTCGCAGTAGAGTGTTCCATATTTTATTTGCATACTAACAATTTCCTGACGACTTAAATAATTTTTTAACTAGTGACTGGATTTCATCGTAATCTGACATCGGTTAGAGAACTATTGCAAAACCTGCAAGGAATATTGGACAGCTGTTTCATCAGCCTGGTTTAGGACTCTTCATCAGTACCCACCCACCGGGGTACGAACCCATGTAAGCTCATAGTGAAGTTCAGTAACCGATCAATCAAATCCCTACAAAACCAACACTTGAAAATTTTATAATTTTTTGTGCCTTAATTTTTTTTTTGATTTACAGCTTGATTCCACACTGTATTTTCGGCACAAGTATGGAATTTTCAGCATGGATGTCGGTAGCCTACATTTTGCAGGCCGACCATAGATATCAGGTGTGCGTCGGTGCGGGCTCGAACCCCGGACCATGTTCATGGTTGGCGAGAGTCCTAACCACTGTGCCACCGACGCATGCCATATGGCTTATCATGCTCTTCACTTTTTGTGTTTTATTTGAGAAGCTTCTGTCATATTATATGTATACGTACAACAGCAACTTATATTTTACCTATATTTTAACACTTTGACACATCTATAGCCATGCCATGATCATTTTATTAATATATTTATTCTGGACAGTATTTATAAAACGGTGCGTCGGTGGGACAGCGGTTAGGACGCTCGCCGATGCACTCCTTTACCTCGCTAAGCCAGATATAATGCTGGTAAAGAGGAAAGGTTGGGCATGGGGCTAGCAACCCCATCCTATAAAAATAAACACTGCTACAGAAACTTCAAGCCACTAGCTTGAAGCCTTATATTCCACTGGGAACGTGATGGAAAAATTATTATTATTTATTTATAAAATGTACAGAATTTTCAGAGGAGTTTAAAGCATGATATTTTCCCTTCATACAACGTCTTCAAGTAAAATATTGATTGGCAGTATATCCCGTGTGTGTGTGTGACACAATGGTCTCTCAGCTGAAGAACAAACCAATCCACTATGATATATCTGCTGTGTCTCCTTCGAAAAATCCGCGATGTCGATCTAGTTGAAAGCCGAATGTAAGATGTCCAGAAGTACATTTTAAGACCTAAGGACATAATTGAAGAACGATTATCTCAAATATTAGAACACGTTGCCACTGATAATCAGGCCTTTCCACAATTTTCTGTAGAGACTTAAGAATCAGGAGCTTGTAAGCACTTTAAATAAATACAAGAGTGAATAATAATACCATCAGAGGTCATATCTTAATCGATTCAAACAAATCGAACGAGAGAAAATATTATGCAACAGAGAGCGGAGAGATAGAAGTTTTTTGTAGCTTAAGTTTTAAACAGGCCACCATCATGAATCATTCTTAATCATTATTCCACATTGGTATCTCCAATCAGTTAAAGTATGTTAAAACAATCATAGGACAATTGACTTTCATCGTTCGGAATGTAAGCAGTCGACAGAGATTCACTGAAGAAACAGAATGGATGCATCCTATCTTGCTCCGCGTTGTTTCATTGCTACATTCAAACTTATTGGTGTTAAATTTGTATATGAAACTACAAGATGTGATGTTCGCATACTCAGTTAATGCGCACAAATGTCTAAGTATTATTTCAGCTTCCAAGTGAGGATATGTCACCTAACCGTCATGATTTGTTATCGTTGTTGGAATAGATCGATAATTAATGTCTAATAATAGTAACTATGTTGTTATTGTAGTATGATATCGGATATTAGTTGCCTAATCCTGGTTTAAAAATGAATAGACAAAATGGACAAAACTCGAGTCGAACGACCAAGAAAGTGAAACAGCACTATCCTGCATGGTTATGAAGAGGTGGGAGTGGACCAATAAGAAGCGCGATCACTGAACAACTGGTCGATAATAATCACCCTATCTCTATAACCTCCACCTTTAAAGTCATCTACAACAAGGCAAAGAGTGATATTTACCCAAATCCCTACGTACCCGACTCATCCACATTGCTGAAGGCATCTTTGGCTATCGAAAGAGAAAAGCCAGATCTCTGTGTGTACAGAAACAGTTTGTTCCACCCCTTCAACTTTCATGGTCTTAATCTCTCCTCTATGCTAAAGTATGTGGTAATCTCTAATCGTATTTAGCTCTACCAATTTTTCATTTTGTCTATTCAGTTTGTATACTCTTCCTTTATTACGTCAATTGTTACTGACTACAATCATAATCACAAGCATTCTAGTTTTGATTGCATTTCATACTACTATTATTAATATTTTATGCATTCACACCTATGATTCAATTCCCTGACCGGATATAACTTCTTAAAAACCATATAAATGCGATTGTTCAGCTTGATGATAAATTCGTTGAAAATAGTCTCTTCGCTAAATCACCACATGTTTCGATTTTCTTTTCAACAGGTAATTTATTTATTTCAAAACACCAGCAAGATGCTTTGTTTGAGTAGTGATTAAATGCGTCGGTGAATCGGTTGTGAAGTGCTGTCCAAGTCACAAGAGACATACGAGTATGATTCCCACAGGAGTCATTTTTAAATCTCATCTAATTTGCTAGCCGCCAGTAAACCCGTGAACCGGAGAAGGTTGGAAGGGAGGGAGGCTAACAGTCTTACTTTGTAAAAATCAACACCGTCAACAATACTACCACAACACCTGAAACTACAAATTTCTTGTCCCTCTTGAAACATAAGGAATGTAAGAAAAAACAGTTGCGAAGTACGCCTCGATATCCCACTTACATTTTGGGTCTTCGGCCATTAGTACTGTAAAAAAAGAAAATAGGAAGGAAAACGTCAGTTATTCAAGTGTTGGTTTGTCGGGATTTGATTAGTTTCAGGATTTCATCATGAGCTGACATCAGTTAGAGAACCATTGGGTACTGATGAAGAGTCCCAAACTAGAACGAAACAGCTATCCAGTACTCCCAGGTTTTCCAATGGTTCTCTAACTGATGTCAGCTCATGATGAAATCCTGAAAAAGTCAGTTAGCTGAATTTTTGAGGATTTATTGATTTTCATATTTAATACTTGAACAACACTGAACGTTAATCAATCTACTTCGGAAATAACTTGCTCTACTTTATGATATTTAATTGGTGTTCTTTCTATTTAGAAAAAAAAATACTGTTTAACTGATCTGATCCCAAATGAGCTTTTTCGGGTTGTGAACAGTTGAATCAGGTTCCATATTTATTAACCTTTTGGATTTCGCAAACTTTTTATTGGATGATAAGGAGGCCGTTTGGCATAAACTAGGGTTTAGTCACTATCACGAACTATTGATTTAACAGGTAATAATTGATGGTGAAATAAAATTCTGGATCATGGAAGGATTCGTATCAGTAGCCTCCAGAATATTACTAGTCCAGATGATAGGTCGTCGGGCTATTGTCTTTCGAGTCCTGGCGTGATTCTGATGATTAATCCACCCACGAATTGTTTCTGTGTATTAGTGTTGGTTTCTGCACTAGGCGTAAAGAACAGGAATCGGATTCTGTCATGTCACTGACTACCAACTCGTCGCTTCCCACTAGGATTCCAGTCTACCGCTGGCCTGTTCTGAGCGCAATGTCGGTTGACAGCCTCCACAGAGTATGCTCATTCAATCTATCAACTTTTTCTCATACATATTTGTTGAACAATCAGCTATCCTCTGTTCGTTTGTCCCCAACCAGCCAGAGTTTCTTGTTGTTAATTATTTCTGGCCGGTGGGCCGACTAGCCATTTGATCTTCAGTATAGACCCAGACAGCGTAGATGGCATCTGTTGATAAAAGTTTGCATTAGCCTATTGGAAATTCTATTCGTGACACACACACACACACAGTGCAAATTTCTGACCCGTATAGAACTGACTGACTGACTGACTGACTACACGTTTGCGTTGTTGTAGTTCCAGTTGGTTATCTTCATCGCCTCCGTCTTCTGTATGTTCATCTAAAGTCCCAGCTTTGCTGCCAGCTTCTTCTACGGAAGAGTTTGTTGGTTTACTCCTACAAGTTTACGAGTTTGTGTGACATTAGACACACATATATCATCAGGTCAAAAATGCATTTCATTCAAAATTGACTGTCTGGTATTCACCCAAGATTCCGTACGTAAACCTAATGTGATATCCTACAGTTTCGTGTAAATTTGACCATTTGGTAAAAATTAAAGTTAAGTTTAAAAATTTAAAATATTCCGTTGATGAATAAAATATCAAAAAAGAATTAAATTCCACTACCACTTCTCTGTTAACTTGATAACATGTTTTTTTATTTTTGGTTGATAGTAAATAGCAGTTTGGAATTTATTGGTCTGATGAATGTAGGCTTCAGGCCACAGGAAAAACATTATCATTTATTAAAAAAGGCAGCAACATGAAGTTGATGAGTCAGTCCCAAAGAGGACGAATTATGCAACCTGAATTCCAGTATTAGTCATTTTTTTTTTCAACTAAAATAAAGTTATGTGTTAACCTTCAAACATCGTCGTAGCGTCCATATTACTATAACAACACGTCAATAAAGACCGAGCGTTTTTCAGTCGAACAGAGTCAATCAACGAGAATCGGAAATTAGCATGCTGTGGGATACATGAAGTCATGCATCAGACAGGTTCGTCAACTGAAGGCTTAACACAACGGTATCAATGTCGCTCAAGTCAATATTCTTTTAGTCGTTGTTATTTCCACTGTGAATTGAAAATTAATTAGGATAGCGGTTTTTTCATCTGAAACTACACCTTGTTGCGAAATGTGAGTTTTTGAATATCAATGGGATTCTTTGTATCCAGAGAAATTAATGAAATTCTGTTTAAATGTTTGACGCCATAATTTTTTTTTTGTGCAGGCTTTATGATGTCAGTTAACTAAGCTGTTCAACATACGTGTTGGTTTCGTATCCTGCTTCCCTACTTAATTCTTTTATACTAGGTGATTTTATTTCATCGTTCAGAGTGAGAATTTTGAATGTCCATTCAGTTCAGATAAGTTACAAGAGTTTCTATAGTTTTGGTTTGTAAGGATTAGTTATGTTTTACGAGTTGATCACGGATTGATATCAGTTAGAGAACCATTGAAAACCAGGGAGTACTGGACAGCTGCTGTTTCATCCTAGTTTGGGAATCATCGGCAGTACGCACCCACTGGGTTTCGAACCCAGGACCTTCCGGTTACAAGGCAAGCTTGTATACCATTCAGCCACTGGAACCCGATTCAATGGCTCGTGAATTCATCGGGTCCCAGTGGCTGAATGGTATACGAGCTTGCCTTGTAACCGGAAGGTCCTGGGTTCGAAACCCAGTGGGTGCGTACTGCCGATGATTCCCAAACTAGGATGAAACAGCAGCTGTCCAGTACTCCCTGGTTTTCAATGGTTCTCTAACTGATATCAATCCGTGATCAACTCGTAAAATTACAAGAGTGTTTTAGATGAAATGAATTGGACAGTACAAGTTCATCTGTGGAACAGGCTAAACTTCCGGTGGTTTGAACTATCCTTGTTTTCAGATCATCATCTTTTTGTCACAGGATTTCATCATAAGCTGACATTGGTTAGAGAACCACAGGGACACCTGTAGGGAGTATTGAAAAGCCAGCTGCTTTGTCCGCCTTGTTTGGGACTATTCAGCAGTACTCACTCCCCGAGGTTTGAACCAGGGTTCAACGTTGGCTAACGGTCACGTTGTCATGAATTGGCAAAAGTTAGAATTCATTGGCTGGTTGGTCATTGGATCGGGTCCCAGGGACTTAATTGTCTACGAGCTAGCTTGCCTTGTAAACAGAAGGTCCTGAGTTCGAACCCTACCTGTGGATGTGTACTGATGAAGAGTCCCAAAATGGGACGAAACAGCTGTCCAGTACTCTTAGCTGGTTTTTCAATAGTCCTCTAACTGATATCAGCTCACGATAAAATCCTGTAACCAATGAGTCAAATTCCTACAAACGAATACTGCTGGCCGACGTAATTGGTTATTCAATGATATATACCGTCTTGAGTAGAAACTAAATCATTTCGTACAGAATACAATGGAATGCTTCCATATTGTAATTTATTGTTTGATTTGTGTATGAAGTGATTCTTTATGGAAGTTGTTTTATAAGTTTGAACGCCGTGATTTCCATAATGACTCCATTGATCAAAATCCGCTGACTAAAGCTGCTCTTCAGTGTGGATTACCATCTGGGGTTGAATTAATACTTACTATGTGATAGGTGAGAAGAAAATTTTATTTCTTGGTTTACTGTATCGCTCTGCGTGTTCATCATGCATATTCTTTTCGTCAAGGACTAAATGCTACACTAAACGGAGAAATGATACTAGTTACAGATTCATTGAAAATCAGGGAATACTTGATGACGGGTGTTTCTTTCTGGTGTATGGCTGTGAAAGAGTAGGGGCTTTCACAATCTCTTGAGGATCAAGAATAAGACCTTCAGACTGCAAGGTGAGATAGCTGATTATTCAACGGTTCATTGATTCCAGATTCTGTAAATTCGCCGTATACAGAGCATGACTGTTAGATAACATCATTGGAGAGTATCACCCCTACAACTGATGTGATGATCTCCGCTGCTGATGGCTTTTGTCTAGAATATCGTGCTGCCTCACCTAACAGTCAGTGACCAATCAGAACTATATTAATTTTCATGCGTTGATTTGCAGGAATTTGACAAAATTCAAGCTCGATCCCTAAATGACTTAGGTTAAAGAAACAAAGAAAGCCAGGATGTACTACTGGACAGCTTTATCCCCCATATTTCAAACTTCTTGGAGGTAAATACACTTGATTGCACCAGATATCGGACAATCTATTCCTGTTGGCGATTTCCCACTGATATATCTGCCCTTATCGTTTCTCTGTGTCGGCTCCGTGGATAAATCTCTCACCGGCAACATTGGCTGATGGTCGCTGATATATTGACAAATTGGTAGAAGTCAGAGTTGACGAACAACTGGATTCTGGTCAGTGATATTCTGCCTCGTTACCTGCAAGGGCTAGACATGGTCATCGGTGTGTACTGCTGAAGAATACTCCCAAAAGAGGATCAAACAAATTTCCATCACTATCAGGTTTCTAGTTGTTTTCTGCCTCATGTCAGTTCACTGTCAAACTAAGGAATATTTTCATTCATATTGTAAACGTATTGTCAATATTATTATTATTAAAGACTCAACAACCAGCTACCGCATTGGTAGTTTAATGATAGAATACTCACCAACGGGCATATAGAGTCCAGTGTTCGATCCCCAATCAATGTACTCCTTAACGCCGACTAATCAGTAGTAAGACTGGTAAAAATGTGTAGGTCAGTTGGTAGACTGGCATTCCTGCCTCTTAACAACTGAAGAAAACTGCTAACAAGACTCATGCTTTAAGCCAAATGTTCCACGTGGAACACGAAAAACAGTAACCAACTTACTTTTATCATATGCTTTCTTTAATAAATATATTTCAGTATTATTACAACAACAGATAATGTCGGTCATTATTTGATAATTTGAACCCAATGTCTTCATGCCTTTATATAAATCATTGGCTAAAATCTCCATTGGATTTCTAAACATTGTTTTCACTAGGCTATCATAACCGCCTAATAAAACAGAGCCTAAATGTTCTGTAATATCCTATTATGAAGAGTAAAAAAATATAAATGGGAATAGAGTACAAAATAATAAAAGCACAATCTATACATTGAAAATAATCCAAATCCTTATGAAAATCCAAAATCGAAATTTCACGAACTGATTTAAGTTCAATTTTAGAGTACATTGAATTTTGATCCCAAATGGCTGAGTCGTCAAAGAATTCAGTCATATAACCTGAAAGTCCTAGCTTCTATCTCCATGACTGTGGAGTCGTACGTGGTGACTGTTGAAGAGCCCTAGAATACGAAGAGATATCTGCCTGGTTCTCACTAGTCTCTAACTGATGTTGATGTATGCCGACATCTACATTAGAACAATGAATAATCTTTTCGACAACATATGACAAAAATGTATACGATAGGTGATGTTGAGGTTAGTAACACCAAGATGATGGCAACTAGCGATTCTAGATGTGGTGAGGGCTATCTGCAAACAAAAATTTTTCAACAACAATCTACGTCTCCGTTTACATTTCGAATCAGGATCATGAGGAATAACAATAAGGAGCTTGATCTTGAGGGACTCATCAGTTAATCACAGCCGATTTAGTGAGTACAAATGCTATTTGCAGATATATGGCCTAAATTTTTAAGAAACGGTCACAAGCGCTAGGGAATAACCTTCAGCAAAAAAGACAACCAATAAGAAGACGTTGCTTCTCCGCTGACAAAAATGTACATGAAAAAATCTATAAAAATCTGTTGATTTTTCTCATTAAACAGTCTGTTGTGTGGCCGTTGTCTTCTGTTGTTACAATAATGAATTTCATGTGATTCAAGTAAAATTAGGCAGTGTCTAGGTGTAGGTAAAACTGACAACAATATTTCAAGGCAATCGCAAGCTTCTTATTACTGTTCTTTTCACACTTTCTGAATGGAAAATAAGCTTTCAGTGGGATACCTTCAGTGCATTGCTTTCACATGACCCTATTATTACACTGAGATGCGCAAAAACTCACTTTCTTCTCGAGTTCCGCTCTTCACTCTGCATTAGGATGTCATTCAATGGTCTTCTAAGTGTATTTTTAGTCCACCTATTTTTTTTTCCTTCCGTGAATTTATCGATCACTTAGTTATTGGCTGGTTATTCAACAAGATTCCTTTCATATCTTAGTAGTTCTATTAAGTGGTGTAGAATTCTCACAATGATTTAGGAGTTATGAATACTTTGTCTTGCTCCACTGATTCAATCGCAACTGGCTTTGAGTTCGGAATAGACGTCATTCATTACAAACTTATCATTTACCGAAAATACACATTGAGTCATGAAGGAAATAGAAGGCAACTCAGAGAAAAAAACTTTTCTTTTATCAGTGAAATCATCTTCAGAGGCTGTCGCACAGTCGTATGCGTATTTACCAAAAATTCTGTAGTAGTTCGTTGTTAAATAATTGGAGGGTGATGTAACTGATATTAATTCCTTAGAAGTGGCTTCAAAAGTAAAACTAAAAGTTATAATTTACGCTGTACTCAGCGGCTTAGAGGAAGAAAGTGTTAGAAACTTGATAAAGTTAAAATTGTATGGAGGATTTAATTATGAGCTGACATCAGTTAGAGAACCACTGGAAAACCTGGGAGTACGGGACAACTGTTTCGTCCCAGTTTGGGACTCCTCATCAGTACGCACCCACCGGGACTAGAACCCAGGACCTTCTGGTTACAAGGCGAGCTCGTGGACCATTGAGCCACTGGGACACTGATGTCAGCTGACGATTATATCCTCCATACAATCAAACAAAATCCCTACAAAACCAACACTTGAAAATTAATCTGATGCTCACTAGCGACTGGTCCTATTCAGGCAGTTAACCTGGGGTTCTAGTGGGAAGCCGTGACCAGTAGGGTACAGCAGGTCGAAGATGAGGCAGTAACTCATCGAAGAAGACATTGCGAAGTGGTGGCGCTATGTCGTGAACTGGCAGAAGTTAGAATTCAAGAACCATTGGATTGGGTCCCAGTGGCTCAATGGTCTATGAGCTAGCTCGCCTTGTAACCAGAAGGTCCTGAGTTCGAATTCTGGTGGGTGCGTACTGATGAGGAGTCCCAAACTAGGACGAAACAGCTGTCCAGTACTCCCAGGTGGTTTTCCAGTGGTTCTCTAACTGATGTCAGCTCATAATTAAATCCTCCATGCAATCAAACAAAATCCCTACAAAACCAACACTTGAAAGTTAAAATTATCATTCAGTGAAAATGGTATTTGAGAGTTGTATTTGACAAGTATGAAGAGGGTGAGGAGAAGTACAAAAGCAACATATGAGAGAGATTAAAATGAATTAATTATTACAGTAAAAGCAAAGTAATCCATGACGAATTGTCAATCTTATTGTCAGACACAAATACCGAGATCTGACGCCCCTTGTACCGTTCGGCTTCATCTTGTAGATGATCTTGAAAGACAACTCTAGTGGAGCAACGTGTCTCGAGTCCACCAATTGCCTGAGAATTGATCTAGTAATTGTCTTGCATTCTCCTTCTGATAGCCATGCTGGATAATTTTTAGAGATACGTTTGGAAGGTGTGTGCTTTGTGCTGCCAATATTACTAGCTCCATACGAGCAGGTGAATTTATGAACACACTTTGAAATGTAAACAATTGGTGGATGGTGGCTAGCAGTGGAAGCCAGGATAATGCGCATTTCGTCCTAATTGGGACTCGTCAGCTGGATGTACCTGCATTTCTCAGTGAGTGATGACGTTCACACCGAAGCTCGAACCCAGCACCCATAGTTTCAAACGCCAAAGCGTTATCCACTAGACCACTTGAGCCACGAGAGCCACCTCTTGTGCAACGGGTCATATTAATTATTGAATTGAATTCTTGATTTTCCCGTCGATTGATTGGACCAAAGTGCTTGGTCTCAGGTTGACATGTCGGCTTCTTGTGCAGATGCTTTGACGATGTCTGGGGACTTGATTTGTATACAGTTGGTGGATGGTGGCTAGCAGTGGAATCCAGGATTCGTACACTTTGAAATGGCCTAAAGTGACAGTTTATCCTTCACACATACACTGATTATTTGTCGGCTATTGAAATTGATCCAAAACTCAGCCGAAAAATAAGGCTATTCTAAGTGATCTGGATAAACAGTTCTTCAGAATATCAGTCACGGTATCACCTTTAACCCTTAACGTTCATAAATAGCAGTTGCTTTGGCACCATCTAGGTTCTTCCGGGCGTTTGTTTTACTTTGATGTTTTCCCCTCGATGAATCTTGGAGGATATCCACTTTCCATTAGGACCAGTCTGAGATTCTATAGTTCACCGTCAACTGTATCACTGGAACATATCCTTCTTATTCTTGAGGATAAAGATTTGGATCATATTTCTCTTTCTTCTCAAAGGGACTTAAATATGAAAGTTCGTCTATTGACCATTGACCAAGTTGTCATCCTATAGATCGATCTTTGAAGAGAATTGTCAGGTTCCTTTTTTCAGAAAAGCATCCAAAAAATGAAATTCCGCATTCATCTCTGATTCCTACGTGAACTAGACCGCATGATGGCAGATGTTGAACTCATTTTCCCTGATACGAAAATATAACTGTGGAGCCTAAGGTAGGGGTTATCGATAAAACAACATTTGCTGAGTAATGTACATTCCAATATAATTTTTTATTTTAAGCTGTCTTCTTTGTATAAACTTCAAATACATTTCACTTGTTTTATTCTTCATAAAGTCAAGTGATATTGTTCATTGATTTCAAACTCATGATGCGTATGCTTTATCTGGAAGTAAATTAAGTGTTTACAGCGATGTTTGAATTGATCTGCTTTAGACATTTTTCAAAAACAATAAAGATTAACACGTTTCAGACAATCTTAAAGTTTTAATGTGATCGTATAAAATAGAATCTGTGTGATTTTAGTATTATTTTATTATTATTGTATCCTTTAGTTCCTAGAGGAACATAGGGCTTCAGCTGCGCACCTCCATTGCCTTCGGTTTTCTGACAACTTTTTCACCCTGCTCCAGGTCTGTCCACATGCTTTCATCTCCTCTTCGCATGACCTCCTCCAAGTCACCCTTGGACGACCAACTCGCCGCCTCCCTTTCGGGTTCCACTCGAGGGCTTGTCTAGTGATGTCACTTGATGGTTTCCTCAGCGTATGGCCAATCCATCTCCATTTCTTTCTGCCTATTTGTTTCACAATCGGTTCCTGATTGGTTCGCTCCCAGAGATCCCTGTTGCTGATCTTTTCTGGCCATCTGATCTTGAGTATTGAGCGGAGACAGCTGTTAATGAAGGTCTGAAGTTTGTTTGAGATGCTCTTTATGACTCGCCAAGTCTCTGATCCGTATAGTAGCACTGACTTCACATTGGAGTTGAAAATCCGGATCTTATTTTTGATGCTGAGTGCTGTTGACCTCCACACAGATTTGAGAGTAATGAAAGCTTGTCTTGCTTTTCCGATTCTGGCTTTGATGTCCTCGTCAGTTCCGCCTGTAGTTGAGACGATGCTTCCCAGGTAGGTGAAGGAGGTTGTTTCTTTCAGGTTCTTCCCATTTATGCTGATTGTTGTCTGTTGTTGCTGTTGCTGTTGATGTTGGCTAGGAATCTTCATCACTTCTGTTTTATCTATGTTCACCTGAAGTCCTATCTTTGATGCTTCTTCTGCCAACTTGTTACTTTTCACTTGCATATCTTCCAGTTTATGGGAAATCAGACATATATCATCGGCGAAATCCAGATCCTCCAAGTCTTTTGTGTCAGTCCATTTTATGCCTGTTCCCTCGTTGGTTGCCGTTGTCTGTCGCATTATCCAATCAATTGCAATCAGGAAGATCATTGGTGATAGTAGACAGCCTTGCCTCACTCCCGTCCTCACTTCGAAGGCTTCCGTAAGTTTCCCGTTGTGGATTACTTGGCATGCAGCATTGTCGTATAACTGTTGGATGAGATGTATAATTGTCGATGGGACCCCGTAGTAGCGAAGTAGTTTCCAAATGACCTCTCGATCGACGCTGTCGAAGGCCTT